ACATCAAAAGATCATTAAAGCATTAACAATTATACAGGACTGCAACCTAGGCTCTGATACCAAACTGACACACCCCAACCCAGAGGACCAAGGCGTGCTGGCCGTCACGTGAGCGTGACGTAACCAAAAGTGCGACGCGGAAGCAAGATATAACAGAAAATGAAGGAATTCAAACCAATCTCTAGTAGAACCACCTATTAGAATAAAAGGATGAGTTATAAGGTAAACACATAAATTCAGAGCATAGGTTTAAGTGCAGTCAAGTAGGACCAAAATAAAAGTACATCACCCGCAGGTGAGTCCTACATGCAGAACGTCTGTCAGAATGCCGAAAAAGACCTCGAGAGCCACCAACCGCTAACTAGAACCTGGAGGGGCGCAAAACAAAGATGAGTGGGTCAGTAAAATCAAAGATTTTCCAAAACAGTTCATTTAAAACATTTCTAACCCCTCACCGTAAAACCTGTATACTTTCCCAGAAAAATAGTATATAAACATATACACATATCATCAAAACTCAGCTCATATCCATCAACATAACATATTAGAAATAATATACCACGTCATGCCAAATATAGTCAGAAATGCATCAATATCAATCAGGTGAAATAATAAATCAACCGGAGACCCTACAATGGTCCTGTACGGCTGATTTTAAAGCTCAACATCCCACTCAGCCGGAGTCACCACAGTGACCTATACGGCCCTGCCGGAGTCACCAACTGTGACCTGTACGGCACTACACTGCACATCACTCGGAACTACGTATAGTAGTCTGTACGATGAAAGGTGTATAAATACGCTCTAGTGCTTCTCTCATCAATCATCAGCGCGCATAACTAAGGTCACCCACTAGTCGGAATCACATCTAGTGATCTATACGACTAGCATGTCGGAACCTTCACATGGTCTGTACGACATCCACCTACTTGGATCCAAGACGAGCGTGCGGTGTGGTGAATAATAATATAAGCACTAACACCTAAGGTGCAGGTTATGAGCTTTCAATGCAATTCTCATAAAATAACTCATTTGAATAATATAAAAACTCACCTGTGCGTCCACCGAGTCAATTAACATATATATCCATCGATTATCAAACTAAATATCTCAACATTTGCATGCACGGCAATTTAAATCATAATTTTCATATAAACGCATTTTCTGGGAAAAAACAGTTGTATATAGGTAATACGAAAACAAAACTGCCCACTCACTGATAAGTCGATGGGTCGTAACCCCCGTGACGTCCCTGGATGCGCTCGTCCTCGGGATAAGTGTCACCTATATGCGAAACAACTATAAAAACGTTAATTTAAACACATAACCAACAATTCGAAATAACTTCTCATACGATGCTCAATTTGGGTATATGAATATACCACATCGACCTACTCGACGTCACGGACGTCGAGTAACTTTTAGAAAATTTTTTGGAGGCCTCATGCACCCCCACGCGCCAGGATAGGCACGGGGACACGCACCCCCACGCGCACCATCTTCAACCTCGGGCTCGCCGGACTGAACTTTCCGGCGGCCGGTTTCTGGCCAAACTTTGAACGTCTCGTTCTCCTTCGTTTCTCAACCATTTTCTTCGTATTTTATACCAAAATGAAGCCCCAAACATGTAGAATCACAATACACTACTTTTAAGGTTAAAAAACAACTAAATCTTACCGGAAAAATTCAAGCAAAACCGGCCAAACTTAACCCTCGCGATCCCGACGTCCAAATCCTTCAAACGAAGCACTCCGAGCTTCCTTGGGACCTCACTAAGCTCACTATAAGCTTAGAATTCCCTGAAACACAACATTTCACGTGTGCATGAACAGTGACCAAAAATGGGGGTTTCAGATTCACGTGAAATCGAAGGTTCTACGTCCTAAAACCAGTACCAATCAACTCAAAACATCTCAAGGATGAAGATTCTTACCTTGGTTACCTCGATCCACTGAGTTTTGGGGGATTTTGGGTGAGGCCGTACAATATGGGTGTGAGAGAGAGGGTGCGTCGAGATGGAGGAGAGATAGAGGGCTACGAGATAGAGAAAGGGAGAGTGTGAGGGTTTAGATGCCCACATTCAATCCACACCATCCATTTTTCCAAATCCCTAACCAAATTAACAAGAACCAAATTAATAAGCCAACTTATCTTATTTATTTTCTTCTGAAACATATCTAAGATTAGACCAAATAATGTCACACACCCAGGTACCTTAATGCCCGTTAAGGGCAATTCCATCATTTCACGTCCTGAATAAGAAAATCTGAGGACGGGCTGTGACAATTACTTTCTCAAAAATCGAAGAGGTACCACTCTCCGAATCTCAAGAGCCAGACTCCCAACATGATTGCTTTCTCAAAAATCGAAGAGGCACCGTTCTCCAAATCTCGAAAGCCAGATCCCCGACCGGATTCCTTGTTCGAAAATCAAAGAGGCATCGCTTTCCGAACTTCGAGAGCCAGATTTTCTTGGATAAAACTTGCAGTTCCCACTACATTGCTACGACCAAGAAGGGTAAAGGAATAGCATTACTACTTGTTGTTATGAAGACTCCTATATATGTCGACCTCCATCCTCCACGGACAGGCAAACCTGTAAAAATGCTCAACCCTTCCTCATATTTGAGAATGCATTCCCAACGAAGCCTCTCAAAATACTCAGCTTTCTTCCCCCCAATATTACCTATGCAAACCAGCCATACCAGAGCAAGACTATCTCATATCATAAGGGTCAAAAGGAAGAGTATCCCATATCATGATTTTTCCCTGTCTTTTCCTTTGCCCTTGTTCAAAAGCAAGAATAAGCTTGTGGAAAGTTACTTCTTCAAAAGCAAAAGTATCTCATATCATCTCTTATCCATTTGCTTCTCTTTATCCTTGTTGCTGTTTACGACACAAAGAGAAAGAGAACAATCAACCGGAAGCCGAAGTCGAACCTCCGATCCAGGTTGCTTGCTTGGAAGTCTGATTGCTTACCTTGTCTGTTACCTCTTTCGGCAAATCTCCTAGCTTGGCGACTTGGGGAACTCCTACTATAGAATTTTGTATCGCACTTGACCAAGCCCGAAACTACAAGTAAGCTTCATGTGAAATTGATACATTACCTTGTGCATCTTCATCGGTTAAAGATACCACCCTTGGATGGAGGAAAAGTACTTCTAGAGAAGATGCTACATCTACGTATGAGACAGATAAGGCAAGTAAAAATGATACCACACTTCGGTACTTAGAAGTTTCGTGATTACTCAATGGCTTGGATCTTGCAAGTCCCCAACCGAGGAGTTTCCCTCACTCGGGAACTTAGGGGAGCACTGTTTGTATCATACTTAACCAATCCCGAAACTACTGAGCACCGGTCAACGTTATATCGTCAAGGACCTATAAGAGTTTCCCTCCAACCAAGAGGCCAATCACAGCACGACAAGTGTTAACATCAGAAGCCAATCATAGTGCGACATGTGTCAACATCAAAAGCCAATCACAACACGACATATATCAATATCAGAATGAAACTAGAAACTCTCTTCTATAAATAGAGATCATTCTCTCACAATATTTCCTAATGTCATTTGTACTAAATCATTCACTTGTACTCACTAAATGAGAGCTTGAACCTATGTACTTGTGTAAACCCTTCACAATTAATGAGAACTCCTCTACTCCGTGGACGTAACCAATCTGAGTGAACCACATACATCTTGTGTTTGCTTCCTTGTCTCTATCCATTTACATACTTATCTACACTAGTGACTGGAGCAATATAGTGAAGGTCACAAACTTAACACTTTCTGTTGTACCAAAGTCCTCGCTAATTTTATGCATCAACAAAACTTAATGGTACTACAATGTTTATGAAACTTAACGGTATTACACTGTTTTTGAAACTTAACGGTATTACCCTGTTTATGATACTTAACGATACTACACTGTTTATGAAATTTAATGGTACGATACTATTTATGAAACTTAGCTGGACACACATGTTTTTATTTTATGTTTTTTTTTCTTTTTGTCCTTATCATTAAATAAAGTTATTAGATGATTTTTAGTTAAAATGCAAAATTTTAAAGTCATTTTCATTAATTTTTTTTTAAAATTACTTAACCCCTTAACATGCTCAATTTTATTTATGGCCCAAACACATATTAACTCAAAATTAATCAATTAGAAATAATAGATAAGGGTCATCTGAACTAATCCTAACAGGGCCAACACGTAACAAAAATAAGTTTTGAGATTTTTGGACTAATATATAAGCTATGGGGCTTATTTAGAATTGATTTTAAAATAACTAAAAGTGCTTAACATTATAAAAGTGCTTCTGATTATATTTGACAAAAAAAGTTATGTGTTCAAAAAGTACTCCATGTGCTTTTTAAGATAATACTTGTATTTTTATTAAAAAAAAACTACATTACTTTTAATGAAAGCACTTTTGAGCAAGAGTGGTTTTAAAAGAGAAAAAAAAACTTTTCTAAGACCATATCCAACTTTTGGCTTAAAACCTAAAATTTTTAGCCCATAAAATTTTGGTTTTAACTTAGAAACAACTTTTCTGTTCCAACCCTTTTTGCTTAAAATTTAACTCCAGATTATTAATTTAACTCCAGATTATTAAAGAATGAATTTAAGCTAATTTTTTTGTTAAAATTAACTTAAAAAAAATTATGCAGACTATCCTAAATTAATTTTATGAACATTTTAACCTAAAAATGTTTAAATTCTGATAAATATTAAAAAATCACTAAATCGATACATGAAACTTAATACAAATGACAATTAATAAACCACATAAACTTAATATAATCGATAATTCGTAAACTACATAACCTTAATAATGATATCCACCATCTTGACTTGGTGGTGGACTTGGGATATAGTCTTGAGATGAATCATCATCTTGAAATATACTCATTGTGGCATGCCTTCACCAAATTTCCTTTTTCTTATCATGTAAGAACTTCTTCCTCTCTAGAGTGTATTTGTTGAGGTCCTCCATCATGAACATTCGAACATTTCTTGCTCCCTATCCCCTTCGTGCGTAATGGCCAAATGCATTCGGGCCGCTTCTTCCTCCAAAGAGCTATGGCTTTCGGTCAATCTTGCAAATTCGGTAACAATTTGTGCACTAATCGGATCTTGGAACTTCCCTTTTCTCTTTGCTTCCTTTTGCTTATCACTTCTCTGGGGCCTTGAAAAAGAAGAAGTTGGGGTCAATTCATCGACACCTTCATTGATATCATTTGTCTGTGCGGCTTCACTATTAAATAATCTTCCCCATTGTTTGTCTGCATCGGTTCCCCATCTCGGACAATCCTTGAGGACGTTCCAAGCATGTTGCAACTTAAAAACTTGATTTTTTGGTGTAGTTCTTGTCGTGTAAATTGCCATTGCTTTGTCACCCTATGCAAGAAATACGGAAAAACAATTAGTTGCAAAATAAGAAAAATTAAAGAGTAATGTTATTCATACCATGTTTTTATACCACATTTCTATATCACCTTAGGTGGCATCTGATGTGGATAGCCACATCATTAGAAAAATTTACAAAACCCAAGGAAATGAAGAAGAAAGACTCCTCGTATACCACAATAATCATTTAATTAACTAGTTTTTCTTAATTATTAGTTTATTAAATAATGAACTAAATTTAAAATTCTGATTAATTCAAATGATGTGACTGTCCACAACAAATGCCACATAAGGTGGTGTGAAAATGTAGTACAAAAATATGGTATGAATAGCATTACTCCAAATAAAATATCAACAAAGAAACTCACAACTTCTGCAGCGCTCCTTCCACCAGCCATGTCAACCACGGCTCTCTCCAAGCTTCCCTTCCATAAAGTGCACGCTTTGTTGATAACCTTCCATCGATCGTAAACACCACCACATTCCCTTTGGTTGGTGTTGGAGTTTTCATTAAACTTATCAACGATTTTACCCCACAAAACCTTTTTATTTTGATTCGTACCAACGACACCATCTTCGCTAATAGAAACCCATGCGAAGCATAAAACAACATCTTCCTCAAAGGTCCAATTATGACCTCTAATATGCTCTGTTGCCATCTTGAAAATTTGGAAATGGGAAGAAATGGTAGAAAGAAAAATTGGAAGAATTGTAGGAGAAAATGAGTTTTGTGTTGATATTTGAACAAATACATAGGTATTTATAGAGTTTTTAGGTGAATTTTGAGTTAAATAATTTTTTTTAATTATTTTAGTCGTTGGATTTAAATTTGGGCCGTTAGATCTTTTTTTTTGCCGTTAGATTTTATTATATTCGATCTCAGCTGATTGATTCAATGTATTTTAAAATTAGATTTTTTTTTTATAAAAATAAGTTGAATCTGGACTGTTGGATCAATCAACGGTCCAATGAAATTAGCCGTAGGATTAAAAATAGAGTCGTTGAGCTCGTGATGGTGGCCGACAGCTGCCCTGACAGTGAGCCCCCCTATGCCGGGCGCTGAAGGCTGCAAAACGCGTGAGGCGTGTTTTGCGAGTTGTTGGGCCTTTTTGTAGCGCGTCCATGCGCACAGCTGGGCTCTATCACTGCTTTTGGGCTAAATCTTGGCTGGTATTCGGTTTTGTTTTAGGTTTAAGGTCCAAATTAGAACTCGAATTGGATTGAATTGGAGGGGGGGGGGGAATAGAAGAGTAAAAATAGGTTTTAGGTCATGGTTGAAGTTGGCCTAAATGAACCGTATGTGTTTATAAAGATACAAATTCTAAGAAATAAAGAAAAAGGTGAAAATTTCCAAATTAAAAAAATTCAGATGCATTAAATTCTTATCATAAACACAAAAGCCAACAGACAAGTCAGTCCAGAAATAGAAGACGCAAAATAAAGAAGACAGAAAAGGCAACACACAGGGAGAAGTCAATACCCGAACCACCACCCTTGCTGACTGGTGAGGCCCCATTCTCTTTAATTTGCCTACTTTTTGAACCTCACCAGAAACCAAGGGTACTTGTACATGGTGCGCTCTTGACTCCCCGCTCTCAACCACCACATCCACAACCTAACAACTACCACGCACCACTCCACTACTTCTTACACCATGCATCTCCCTCTTATTTACCAAAGGACCACTACCACACACCTCTAATGCCCTTGGACTAACAAATATAAATTAGGAGGAAGTTGTTATTCACGCTCTAAAAAAGTCATGCTGCATTCCTTCTTGTGATTCAAGTACCAATTTAGTGAATCACTAATTACGGTATAAAAGGAATGCGGGATGACTTTTTTTTAGTATGAATAACAAATTCCGATTGCAAACCCTAAATTTAGTATGCATGCATGATTACAAAACAAGACCAAACTGCTAGATGGTTTGTCTCTGGTTGGGGAAGAAGGAAGAGAGACTTAGGTGCAGCTATATGTATATAGCTGTTACTGCGGGGTCGCAGCAGTGGGATGGTCAGATCCGCCAGAAATAACGCCAACACTGACATTATCAGTAGTAGCGGTGGTGCAAATGTTGCTGCTACCGAGGGCGGAAATGATCTGCTGCACCGAGTTGCAGAGATGGTTGTTCATCGCGGTGACACTGGAGAGGTTGAGTTTTGCAGATGGGCTTGTGCTGGCAAGAACTTGAAACCCCACAGTCAGCAAACAACCCGAGTTCATGATGCGCTTTTCCTGATTCTGATCTGGCGATGAGGTTCCATGATCAGCTGCAGTGGCAGCACTAGATTCCATAGGCTGCACTGGGACAATGACAAAGCCTAGAGGAAGGAGGGGAATGCAGGATGGGTCTTCTCCGCTCATTGCCAACTGGATGCCATCAACATCCATGGTTGCATACACCACCAGGCTGCCTGACTCATCAGTGCAGCTCTCTTGTAGCATTATCTCTATGTTCTGCGATGAGTTGCTTGATACCTGTATATATAAACGTATGAAGTAATATATGATGGTCAGTTATGTATTAGTACGAATTGAAAATGAAAAGGAGATTTGAACTACAGGAATAATTTATAAGGAAGATGTAAAGTAGCAATACGTTATATTAGTAGAAGTAAATTCAAAGGGAGTGCGTAAGCTTACATTTATGCGAAGAAGAGAAATGCAGTTTCCAGGATGAGAGCCATTGGCAATGTGAGCCACTTCATGTAGGGAATTCCCATTGGTAAGAACATCGAGCTGCTGACATAATGCAGGAGGCTAAAAGAGATCAGCAAAACATTTTGTGTCAAGAGAATAACCATAGCTGGTTTTTACTTGTTTTAGCGAAACAACATAAGTACCTGAGCTCTGCGGCGTTCATCCCGTAGGAGTTCAAAGACACGGTAGTGCGAATAAGGGAGCCAAGTGGTAGAAACAGCAGTGAGAATGACCCCAATGGGTTGACCAGCTTCTGTGACTTTCCTTGTGGTTATTCTAACAGTGTCACCTGGGGAATCAGATATAGCCGTCCACGACTGCCCATTGGAGGTGCTCATGCTTACACAAAACGTTCTTATCATTCTCTGAGCCAATTTCATCATGTTCTTGCGTGCTTCGGGTGAAGGTATCACTACATGTACAGACGCCAATTAATATATGTTAATCACCAACAATTAATTATACGATTCCTTGATTATAAATGCTGGCAACTAGTTTGTAACAGGTAACTGTTTATCTCTGAAAAATAATTATCACTTGATTATATGATAAGAAGAAAGATCAGTAATTTAACCTCCGAGGTCTGATATATTTCTGGCCATGAGACTTGCAACCCTTTCGCATTGCCTTTGTAAGACTGCAAGCCATCGTTGCGCCCCAAATGCCATCCCACTGTAGACATAGTGACTGAATATTTGATGTACAGGTTTCTCCTCTATCTGTGCATGTTCTATCCATGTAACCTGTGCAGAAGCCAGAAAATAGTAAGTCTGGTACATCTAATACTTCCCTCGTACATTTTTACTTTCGCTAGTAAGGCCATATAAATGTACGTTGGAAGCGAACTTGAATCGGTTGAATTAACATGTTATAGGAAATGATTGCAAAAGGAGTACGATATTTTGATGGGTAAAACTAGGGAACTGGAAAACTAAAAGCATGCGCGTAGAGGTTGAGTGAAAGAAGCGGGAACACACCCTTGAGTATCCATTGGGCATATCTTGGATAAGACAGCCGGACGGCCATCTCTTGTACCTGGGAAAAGATGATTGAAGGTTGTCATGGAAGCTATCTATGGGAAAATCAACAATTGCCCAGCTGCCCTCCTCTTCATTTTGTTGACAATAACGTAGAAAATGAGTTTCTCGGGTTGGCACCAGAGGAGAAACAACTTGCAATTCCGCATACATCTGCAAATCCAATTAAGTACAACCAATTAATGTGTCTTGATGAACATACGGAGTTATGATTTGAGAATTTCTAGCTTTGAGATACCTACCAGCTGAAGGGAACCGTTTGCTTGACCTGAAGGATCTGCTGAAATAACTTGAACAGTTTTAGCTCTTGAAACTATAGAAGGAAATAATTCCATCCACTTATTCTGCAAAAGGATCATTGAAATAAGAGAAAATTGTTTTAAATATTAAGTAATCTATCAGATTATAGTATAATAGATATATGGTATATTTGATCACCCAGAAATAATTGTTTTAAGTATTAAGTAATCACACAGTGAAAAAGAATAATTTGTATAGTTTGGCAACTATGTATGAAAGTGGTTAAGTTTATTCTAGGGTTTTGTCTGGTCCAAGAACATTACTCACTAATTAATCAAGGCATTGCATGAATTCTCTAATAAAAACGAGGGCACTTACAGCATCAAGGAAGGCATCTACAAGATTAATGCTATTCATGATAACCACAACACTATCGCGAGTAGCTTCCGTCCTGCACTGATCACTTGGCTGCTGCTTGAGGTTCAAGGGCCATGGCGGGAATATGCGGGCATGTTCTTCAACATTTAACACTTCCTTCCCGTTCTCATTGTTCCGGCTCCAAAGAGGCTCACCAGCCCGGCACATCTTAATAAGTTCGGCAACTGAGGATACCGCAAGCTCTACTGCAAGTGATTTTTCGTCATCTGATAAGACACCACCCCAACTCCCAGCAGGAGCAGGGTAGTGAGAAGGTACATGCGGTGGTAACAGAGGCATGGGAATCATTTCCGCAGAAGTCATCGGGTACTCTTGGAAATGCCTTGAATAGATATTCATATCCAAATCCAAGTTGAACGCCGGCATTAGTGGAGCTCCAGGTGCCATTGTTTGGATTTGCTGCCCACTAGTGTATTGAGAATTCAAGCAGAAAACTCGTTCCAACTGTGAGCACAAATTTTGTAATAACTTATCAACCCTAAACAATTACTTACAAATGAAAATGCATGATTAATAGATATATTTCTCTTCAATATGCTGTAGTCAATCCAATTAAAATTTTTACTGCTTCTGATCATCCAAAATTACTATTCAACTTAATTAATTTGTTCTGCAGTCCATTCAGCTGATTATCATAATTAAACATTAAACAGTTGCACTGCTATTTTTTTTCCATGTACAAAAAAAAAGAAAAAAAGAATGAACTTTTGATAATGAAATTACCATAAAATAATTAAGAGAAGTATCAATACCTCTTCTCTGAGTCGAGCATTCTCAAGGCGAAGATGTTGTTCATCTAAGCCAATGTCCGCAATCATAGCAGGACCTTTACAATTGGGGCACATAATATTGCTCAGCGCTGCTTGTAGCCGGTAATTCTCGTTCTTTAGGTTCTCATTTTCCGCTCTAAGCATGACATTATCAGACCGATCTTGTTGTGCCTACAATAATTTTTGTTTTCAAACCACAACAAACAGAAGAATTAGTCAAATTTAAGCAGAAATTAAGATAATAAATCGTAGCTGTAACAATACTTGACATAACCCTAGCTGCTAATGGCACGCATAAAACAAAATTAAGGAAAAGAAAAAGAAAAAGAAAAAAGACAATCCTAGATGCTAAAGGGGATATGGATAGCTATAATTTATTGCTGGACTTTGGGAAGCACATGATTTGGTAAAGGGTTTAATGCACATATATTAATTTGGCTTCAGACTTTATTAATTGCTAAAGAAGACTAT